CGGGCACCACCGGTTTTGGCACGGTACATGTGGTAACGCCGTTCATTTTTAACAACTCTGTGAGTTAGCGAATAGTGTTCTTACTTTACTTCTTATACGAGGAAACGGCGGGCAGTTTGGTTAGCTGTGAAATCAGGGTCACAAGCCCCTCGGTAGGCGGTGCAGCGGGCGCCCAGAGCCCAAGCACACGCCCTTGCCCTCCGCACAGGCCAGCTTGTGTTCAGCGTAAGGAGGTGAATTAAGCCGTTTCTTAAGTGGAAAATTAGCAGGGACAGGAAACCTCTGTGCAGGTATTGATTAACGTTATTACTTGGTTTAAGTTGTTCTGTTGAGGGTTCCCGTCCGAAGATGAAAAGGCGGTGTAGTATGCTGCTGTGGCAGGCAGGGGGCAGCAGTGCAGGGGAGGGGCTCGGGGAACAGACGCTGGATGCCACTGGGTAGAGGAGGCTTGGACTTCGTGCATAGGAGCACCCGGTGCTAAGGAAAGGTTTCTGAATGCTTTTGATTTGACTAATAATTGTTACTGACAATCAGGAGAGGCTGCTTTATTTCTAGGGGGCTGTTAGTAATATAATGGCGGAATGCTGTGATGTTGCTGCCCATCAAAAAACAGAAGGTCAGAATATCGGACCTGTTCGTCCAGGGTGAAAGTGTGTGTGTTTCTCATTTTTTGTGCTTTTTGCTTTCATTTATGCGTTGGTCGAAGTATAGAGGTTAGGCTGCGTAAGCTGGGCGTGTGTAGTTGTGTGAGTTTGTGCGTGAGGCCAGCCTTAACTGCTCTGAAGCATGTAAATGGGTTTAGTGACCCAGTAGAGATTCTATTTTTTTTTGTTACCTCTAAGAGTCCTTAATTATGTATTTTCCCAAACATCTTCAATGAAAACAAAAGAAATAGAAATGGCATGTAACCTTCATAATGGGTTTATTACTTGATAAGCCATTAATAATAATGTGCAAATGTGACCTAACACTGTATTTAATTTGATCTTTACTTATATTTAACAGGGAATTTAATGTTTCCCCTCTCCCTGAGAGAATTGTTTTTTGTTATATAATCTATTTCCCTGTGTCTTCACCCCCAAAATTGTTAAGGTCCCCAAAACAATTGATATGGGCAGAATAGATGTGAGAATGTTGGAATTTACAAACTACTTTAAAATTTAGTGGCTTAAGGCAGTGATTTGTTATTTCCTATAATTATGCGGGTCAGCTGGGCTCAGCTGCTTGGTGTTTCTGCCGCATGGTATAGGCTGGGGCCACACGTGTGGCCGAATTCGGTTAGCGTCCCACCTGGAACTGTAATGCCCTTTGATGGCTCTGCTTTGGTGGATGGATTTGCGAGAGAGAAACATCCCTCAATGTGAGAGGGAAATACTGACCGGCTGCCTCCCATACCTGCCCTGACAGGGGATTGAACCCAAAACCCAGGCCTGTGTCCTAACAGGGAGTAGAACCCCCGGCCGTCCGGTGCATGGGACCAGCTGAGCCGCACCGGCTCGGGCCGCACTGCGCCTTTTACACTTAACATTTTCTGAGATATGTTGCTACCTTGAGTCTATTTGTACTTTGAGGTAGGCCCTGTTCCATATAACAGAAGCATTAAAATGAATGACCGTAATTCAGCTGGACGATGATACAGTGTTGGAGGCATTTACAAGAGGAGGCGAGGGCAGGGCAGGCGGAGGCTCCTGGGAAAGCAGGTGAAGTGTGCATGGATAATTTGGAATACACCCAGTGATGCTGCTTTAGTTTCCTTAGTGTCTGATGCGGGGATCTTAGAAGCCCGGTATGCAGGGCATGTGGCACGCTGCTGTCTCAAACAAGAAAGGAGGATGAGGCCCCGTGGAGGGCCTGTCCTGGGCGCCCTCCCCTCCCAAGGGTGCGGAAGTGCAGCGTGCCCTCACTAGTGGGTGGAACGAGTCCACATCACACACTTTTTCCGGAGCAGGAGGAGTCTTGCAAACTCACACACTTTTGTAGAAGTTCCACTGTAGTCTCTATGTTGTTGATTTCTTAACTACCTTTGTGTTTTCTGAACCGTCAGTGTAAGCAGTGTAGGTGGAGAAGCAGGTTGCCGGAGAAGGGAGGGTAGCTGATTAAGGAGAGCCAACACTCATTGATAGGAAGTCGTGAGGGAGATTGGCATAAGTCTTAAGGTGTTTGCAAAGCCTCATTGTAGCAGCTTGTTTGGTTTGGGTGCATAAGGCGCCTCTCCTTCCTGTGCCGGGTGCTGGAGGGAATGCCACGGCAGGCAGCCGGGGTTGCTGTGGAACCACGGTTCTGGGCGGGGGAGTCGGAGCTGTGTGCAGGAAGACACTGGACGAGGCAGACTGTAAGTGGTCTAAAGGAGGGACAGGTCCGAGTGTTGGGGGGAACCAAAAACGGCTTTGGAGATGGCCCTTGAAAGACAGACCGGGCTTTTAAACTGGAGAAGGTGGGGAGAAAGGGTCGTAAGAGCAAGAGGAATTTTGATGGAGTTCCAGTGGGAGGATTGACGAGGGTAGAGGTCATCCACATCAGGAACTGGGGCCCAGAGCATGCTCGTGGTCCATTTAGGTCGAAACTGAGAAGACAGGGGTGCCCAGCCAAATGGGTGGCTGGGGCCGTGTAGGGTGGGGCTTTGGTGCCTTGCTAAGGAGTGTATAGCAATCAGACGTGGTGCTGATTGATTAGGAAGCTGCTTTTGCTGCACAGTCCGCCTGGATGGGACAACCTGGTGGCCCAGAAGGCGGTTCTTTCAGGGGCCCAGGTGAAGGGGATAGGCGCTGAGTTGAGGTGGCGGCGGTGGCGGTGAAGGGCAGTTGGAGAGAACAGTGCCACGTGGCGACCCGGCTCTCCCCGGACGTGGTGACTAATCACAGCACAAAAACTTGTTTAGCCTCTTCCTTAAACCTGCCCACACCGCTCATCAGCAGAGGGAAACAGGGAAGTAATCTGACAGTCGAAGTCGTCACAGTTCACTTGATAAAAATTTCTCTGTCAGTTGAGCGGACGAACTGTTTGCAGCCCCGAAGTGATGAATGTGTTCTGAAGCCTGTTCCGAAGGTTAATGAGATTTCAAAACCTAGAAGCACACACTCGGATTGCAGGGTTGGAGAGTTTGGTTTGTCCAAACTTCGGAGCTGCTAGAACATCCCGTATTGGTGATTTTTAAAAAGCTTCTCTATTTCTAACCTTTATTCTACATGTTTACATATGATAGGTTTATGTAGCATGAGGGAGTTTCTTGTACTCTGCATCAGACGAGCAGCACCCCTAGAAGTTTACGGGTTAACCGGACTGTAGTTCTGGGGAGTGTTTCAGAGGCTGTTGGGCTGGCCCCTTGGGGCCGGAACTGTGCCAGGGCGGCCAGTCGTTGCAGCTGGAGGCAGCGATGGCTGGCACCACGAGGCGTCCGTGTCCCGTCTGGTCGCCGCAGCCTGAGCTCTGTGTGTGTGTGTGTGTGTGTGTGTGTGTGTGTGTGGGGTTCAGGTCGCGTGGAACTGGCACGCATCTCTGCAGTCTGCTTCCCCGGTGTTGCCCTTCTCAGTAATCACAGGGAACCGTTTTACTGCGTTTCACACCAGTCTTGATACCATCACAATTACATTTTGGATGCACTTGAATTGCCTTTGTTTCAGCTAATAGTGTTATGCACTCGCTGGGAAATGATGCTGCTGAAACAGAACAGGTGGCTGGAGGTAATTAGAGCTTGAATTTGACTCCGACTTTCCCCTTCTTGAAAACTGAAGTGAAAAGCGTGGTCGAGTGAGCACTGGGAGCGCACTGCGTGTCCGCGGGCGCACCTCGAGGTGGCCCTCCGAACACACCGCTGGCTCCAGCACTGCTTCTGGCTGCGCCTCGGCTCTTGCTAAGGGGGCGGTCTCCAGCCTGGGTGGGAGGTCTCAGGTGGACTCAGTTGCCCTCTCTCGTATATTGCTCTTCCTTCTTTGATTTGTGGTGTGAGCTGCTAAATGGATTGGAGAGTGAGGCCGCACCCTGTTACCCTCTTGTCTTCGTTGTCTCAGCCCCGGGGCTGTGTGAGCTCGCGGCAGGGCAAGCTCGTGTGTGCTTTTAAAGGGCCCCTCGGAGTGGAAAGCGACCTGTCAGCATGCAGGTGACACTGAACTGTACGTTCTGGACACCCATACGCGAATCTTGCATTTGGACTATTTCAGCCTGAGCATTGATGGAGGGGGGCTGGCCCCACGCTCCGAGCAGCGCTGCCCCCTGTCTGCGGCGTCCGTGCGTGGCCCGTGCCTGAGCGGGCCAGACGCCGGCGTGTGGCTGCAGTGCCAGGTCTCGCCAGCCTTCCAGGCACGTTCTGCCGACAGCCGACAGTGCAGGGATGTGTTTATCCTTTACTTGATTTGCCCAGATTTGATTATCCATATTTTACCGGGATTTTAATTTAAAATGTAGTTAGCGGAAGCCGGATTAAGTGGAGATACGTGTCTGGGTGTTGTATGTAAATACGCAATCAGCAGCTACGACACGTGTCGCACGACGGGTATGATCGCTGGGAACTTGGGTTCAGCGGAGGAGTCACTAGTCTCCTCTGTACTCCCCTTGGCCGTTTTGGGAGTTGCCGTAAAACTTATCTCGGGAGAAGATAAGAACTGGAAAGTTACCAAATCCTGGTGGTTTCGGACGTTCCAAAGTCCTTTATGGACTTTGAAAGAGAGAAAGGAAAGTTAAGAAGTTGTGCATATCTGAATGTTTTACTTTCGTTGTGCTTTTTTCCTCCTTGTTTTGGTTTTCAGAAGTTTGTAGCTGTCCGAGTGGCTCCTAGGTGACTCTGCATCCTATTAAAACAGGAGCACTTGCTTTTAAATCTTCATTGTACCTTGTTCTTACCCACGAAGTCCCTCCCTGGACTAGTTCATTTTTAACTCTTAGGTCTTCTCGAGCATAGGGCCAGCAAGGCTAAAAGGGTAAGTAATGTATTTCAGGCTTGCAGAAGCTTCAGCAGGGGAGAACAGAGTGTCTGATCGAATTCTACTTTACACTTGGGCTTGCAGGAATTGTGGGAGGCACGCGCGTGAAGAAATGCCCCGGCGTGTCTAGCCATGGGACCTCGCTGACCGCCATCACCACCTGCTCTCCGGACTCGCGCGAGAGAGTGGGTCGGGGCGAAGGGAGAGAGGCCAACATGAAGCTGAAGCAGCGGGTCGTGCTGTTAGCCATCCTCCTCGTCATCTTTATCTTCACCAAAGTTTTCCTGATCGACAACTTAGACTCCTCGGCCGCCAACCGGGAGGACCAGAAGGCTTTTCACCGGATGATGGCTGGCTTGCGGGTGGAGCTGGCGCCCAAGCTGGACCACACCTTGCAGTCTCCCTGGGAGATCGCAGCCCAGTGGGTGGTGCCCCGGGAAGTGTACCCCGAAGAGACTCCAGAGCTGGGGGCGATCATGCATGCCATGGCCACCAAGAAAGTCATCAAAGCTGATGTGGGTTACAAAGGGACACAGCTGAAAGCCTTACTGATACTCGAAGGAGGGCAGAAAGTCGTCTTCAAGCCTAAGCGGTGAGTCTTCATCTTGGGAGTCGTGTGTGCTGGTGGGTTGGCGTGGGGAACAGGGTTCATGGAAGGGGATTTATCGCCTTCTCTCGGTTTTCTCCTCCGTGCTGAGAGCGGTAGACCGGGAGGTCTCCGAAGCCTCTTCTCCCTCGTAATGTTCTGGGAGCCTTTGCGTAGGAGAGATTCACAGGAACATGATTTGATTTCACACGAGACTGAACTTGTTGCAGTTAGAGCTCTCCTTTCAACTTTACCCAGTACCCATGTGTGCCAGATGTTAGAGATACAGCGTGAGTTAGTTAGGGAATAAGGACCTGTCACCAGCGGCGGGCAGGGAGAGACGAGACCACTGCGTGCTCTGGAGAAGGAGTTGCCCAGAGCTGGCGTGGCCGGAATCCCTCTTGTCGTGGGAGCCGTAATGCTTTCACCCAGGGGTTTTTTCCCCCCAGTGTGGGTATTGTTTTTTTTTTATTTTAATTAATATATTTATTTTAAATTTTTTATTCATTTATTTTTAGAGAGAGGGGAAGGGAAGGAGAAAGGGAAACATCCATGTGTGTTTGCCTCTCACGGATCCCCTGTTGGGGACCTGGCCTGTGACCCAGGCGTGTGCCTTGACCGGGAGTTGAACTGGCGACCCTTTGGCTTGCAGGCCCGCACTCAATCCACTGAGCCACACCAGCCAGGGCTAATAGGTTTTTTTTAAAGCACTTTCAGGTGTACAGAAAAATCGAGGAGGAAGTACAGAGAGCCCCTATGTAGTCCCTCCTCCCCTCCATGCTTTCTCCTGTTGTTAACATCTCCCATTGTGTTGTACTTTGGTTATAAACGGTAAGCCAATATTCTTTTACTGACTACCCCCCGAAGTTCTCATTAAGGTTCACTCTGTGTTGTCTACTCCGTGCGTTTTGGTGAACACCTAGTGACAAGTGTCTACCATTGCAGTTTCCTGCAGAACAGCCTCCCTGCCCGAGGCATCCCCTGCGTTCGACCTGTTCCTCCTCCCCTCCCTCCCTCCCCCACGGCCCCCAGCAGCCCCTGGCAACCACAGATCCTTGTACTGTCTTTCCGAGAGTACGTGTGTGGTTGGAATCCTACCTTTTCAGGTCGGCTCCTCTCACGCGGCAGCAGGCATTTAAGGTGTCTCCTGGCCTTCCTGTGGCCTGCTGGCTCATCTCTTTATTGCTGGGTAATGTCCCGTTGTCTGTATTACCCCAGTTTGTTTATCCACTCACCTCCCTAAGGGCATCTCGGGTGCTTCCAAGTTTTGGCAATTATGCATAAACTTTCTAGAAACGTTTTTGTGTAGATGTTAGTTTTTAGCTCATTTAGTTAAATACCAAGGAGCACAATCGCTGGATCATAGGGGGAGAATATGTTTAATTTTGTAGGAACTGCCAAACTGTCTTCCAAAGTGGCTGCACCGTTTTGCACGCCCACCAGCAGTGAACGCGGGCTTCTGTGGCCCCACGTCATCCCCGCCAGCATGTGGCGGTGTCTGTGTTTTGGGCGTTGGCCGTTCTAGCAGGCGTGTAGTGGCATCTCGTTGTTCCTTTCACCTGCTCTGAGCGGAGAGCCGGGCCACGTTAGTTACCTCAGTCTACAGCTCGAGCTGGGGCGTGGACTCTGTGTTAGACAGTGACCCTGTGGACTTCTCTAAGGATCTGCAGAGCTCATTTGTATTTCAGTTTATAGTATAATTAACTTTTTAAAAAGCTTTCTGTGAACCCTGGCTGGCAGACAAACACATGACCTGGCCGCAGTCAACGCTGCTCCATCTCATGTCTGTCGCCAGCATTGCAGTCTGCCCCTGCCTCCCTCTTCCAGGCCATGCTGGACACCACCGCTACTCTTCCCCAGTGGACACCCGTGGTATCCCGTGCTACCCAGCTTTAAAACGTCCAGCAGCTTCTCGCTGCTCACCAGACAAAACCCAGCGCCCACAGCCCGGTGACTGGCCCTCCTCCCTCTCCACTTCCCGCACTGCCCATGTCCTTCCAGGCCCGGCGAGCTGCATGGGCCCCTGCCGGGCAGGCAGCGCTCTGAGTCACTGACCACGCTGACCCGTGCTCGTTGCACCTGGCGCTGTCTTGGGCTGGGGACGGGGGTGCCTGTGTAAGTGCTCGTGGACGTCGACGCCAGTCCCGACACCCCCAGCGCATCGCTGCTCTGACCCGGGGCCTCAGCGGCCCCTCAGTGCTGGGGTGGGTGCCAGCTACTGCCCTTGGTCACACTCTGACGCCCCTCAGCGGGGCGGTAGGAGTGATTTATTGGCCGTTACTGTATGAATTTGGCTGCCGTGTCGGGGACTTGAGATGGATCGCTGAGCTGATGGGAGGAGCCGGGCCCTCACTGCTAAGTGACAGGTGCCCCGTCCTGGAACAGCCACCATGACTCCGCATTGCTGGAGCCCACCCGTCCCTGTCCTGCTCCCAGAGACGGAGGATGGGAGAGACACGGCCTGTAGGAGGAATACAGCGGCGCTCTTACTGACAGGTTTTGCCCTACATCGTAAAAGTGATTTTTTTCCAAGGTAGCCATGCCCACTCTGGAAGTGACTTGATTGTCACAGGCACACGCCTCAGCAGTGGCGGTGAGAAGGCACACGACGGCAAGTGGGCGGAGTGAGGGGTGGTCTTGGGAAGTGCTGAGAGGGCCCTGGAGCTCAGCTGGTCCAGCTGCCCCCTGCCCGGGCGGCAAAAACGAGACCCAGCGTCCTGACTGCCTTAGTTGTTCACACAGCCCAGCTCGAGCTGAGGGTTCGGACCTTCCGACTCTTGCCCTTCCTCTTCCTCCACTCCCTCCCTCTCCACCCACTCCCAGAGTTCCAGGGTCCCTCTGGGGTCTTCCTCTCCCACCAAGCGGCCCGTCGATATACTGGAAAGCCCTCTCTCACCGAGGGGAGGGGACTGCTCATCACTGCGTCATTCCTGCGGCTCCACTGGAGCCCCACAAAGAAAGTGTCCGGGGCCTGTCCCCCAGCTGGCGCCGGCCCACAGCTGTAAGGAGAGAGAGGTGCTGGGAGCAGCAGCTTTGCCTGCTGTCCTGGTTAACAATTGAGACTTTCCATTTGGAGGGCGCGGTGGGATCCCCGATCACCGGAACAGTGCTCTGACCCTAGAACGAAAACCGGCGTCCGAGTGTGTCGGCAGCGCTGACGCCGGCGTGCAGAAGAAGCCGGCGTGCAGAAGAAGCCGGCGTGCAGAAGAAGCCGGCGTGCAGAAGAAGCCGGCGTGCAGAAGAAGCCGGCGTGCAGAAGAAGCCGGCGTGCAGAAGAAGCCGGCGTGCAGAAGAAGCCGGCGTGCAGAAGAAGCCGGCGTGCAGAAGAAGCCGGCGTGCAGAAGAAGCCGGCGTGCAGAAGAAGCCGGCGTGCAGAAGAAGCCGGCGTGCAGAAGAAGCCGGCGTGCAGAAGAAGCCGGTGTGCAGAAGAAGCCGGTGTGCAGAAGAAGCCGGCGTGCAGAAGAAACCGGTGTGCAGCCAGGTGCTGGTGCGCGGCTGCCTCCGAGCGCTTCTCCCTGTGCCTCGGTCAGTGTGTTTGTTTGGTGGGCAGGCTGTCACTTTACGTCCCACGGTCACTTTTGCTGGAGGTCGCCGCCTCTCCCAGCTCCGGTCCCCACTTGCCCAGCCTTTCCCGCACCGGGGAGCCGAGGGCCCTCAGCGAGCAGCTCCGCGTCGGTCTCGGTCTCGGGTGCTTCCGTTTGTCAGTGCCCCGTGCAGCGCCCGGGTGTCCTTTCGGGCCGGAAACGCAGGTGAACAGTGGAGGTCACGGGAGAATTGTCTCTTTCTTCCTACGTAGCAGGTTTGAACGGTGTCTCTTTCCATGACCAGCAGGAGGAAGTGTGCAGTTTTCATTATCCTTTATGTCGTGCGTGTGATGCAGAGTCATCAGAAGGGAGTCTGAGGTGAAGCAGGTCGTAGACAGTACCCCCTAGTCAAGCCGCTGACACTGTAGGCCAGGAACGTAGGGCCCAGACGGAAGGGCTTCGCTCCAGGTGACGCAGGTGGGTGATGTGGCCGTTTCCCTGGCTGTCCCCCGGGCCGGCGTCTCTTCTGTTACGTCGTCGTGAACTGAGCGGGAGCAGAGACTGGGTATTCAGACGGCTTTTGCACGTGCACCTTCGCCTGCGTGGTGACAAAGACTGAGGCGTGTCAGCCCTGCCTTGTCTTAGGAAATTCCAGCTTCTCTCACAAGCCTCTTTCCGTAGCCATTCTGGTAAACAAACATTTTAATTACATTTCCCTTCACTTCCTAGGTTCAGTCTAATAGACATTTTAGCAAACACTCCTCAAGCACCCCTCTGCCACTGTCGTGGAGACACGAAGGTGGTCCTCGCCTCCCGGGAGGTGGCCTCGCAGTTTTGCTCAGACCACGGGGAGAGTCTTTTGCACATGGGGTAGGAGGGGCCTCTCCCGTGTGTGCGTCCCCGCGTGACCGCCGAGGCGGAGCCCTGGTCCCTCCGCCGCTGCGCCCTCCGCCACCCCCCGGGGACCCGGGCCGTCCCCGTCGACCTCTGCGTTGACGGAAGGCGTTCCGGGGCAGAGCCGGGCCTGCCTCCCGGCGTTCTGCCGTGCCGCCACCGTGGTGCTGATGTGACCCGTGTCCCCACCTTGCGCCCCGCAGGTACAACCGAGACTACGTGGTGGAGGGGGAGCCCTACGCCGGTTATGACAGACACAACGCGGAGGTGGCGGCCTTTCACTTGGACAGGTGGGTCTGATCACGGCGGGCTGCCTGCGTTCTGTTGCCTTTTAAAGACGCCCTGGCAGGGGGGGCGTGTGGACTCGGTCAAAGGCTGCACCGCTGACAGCTTTGGCCGCTGCCTGCTGGGCACACGGCCGGTTGACTGACCCCACTGAACTTGCACGAGGGCCTCAGGATCCGGGTGGCGCTGGAAATGATGGAAATAAGACCAAAGTGAGTTTCTTCCCCCAGGCTTTTTCAGGTCCTTTCCGACAGGCCTGCCCTCTGTCGTCATCAGGAGCGAAGGTGTTACATTAGTAAGTCCAGCGGCAGGGTGAAGACCAGAGTTTGGACTCCAGTCCTGCGTTGCACTGGGCGTGCACTGAGCCTGGCGACACCGTCCTGTGTTTGTTTTGGGGACGTGACACTGGCTTGTCCCCATGTGCTAGAGACAGCGTGACATTTTAGTGAATTTTATTGTCCTGCATATAAGATAGGCACAGCTTCCATAGCCAGAATAACGCCAAAAGAAAAATGCACATGAATTCTGGATGTATAGGTGAACTAGGAAAATGCGTGTTTTCCGTCAGGAACCCTGCACGTGAACTGTCTAGCACCCCAGCTGTGTTTCTGGCCTGCTCTTTCGTGAGAGCACACGGGCAGACTTTTAAAGATACGTTCACAGTATTTTTTAAATGAATCTGTAAGGAAACTGGAAGAAAATTAAGGTGAATTTTTGTCTTTTTCTGTATTGGGAAGGATTTTCTGAGCATAAAAGCAACAATCTAAAAAAATCACAAAGAAAACGCTCAATAGACTCAACTAGGTAAGAAAAGAAACGTCAAGAAACATTAAACAAAACTTAAATGCAAACAAACCGGGAGAAAATACTTGACTCGAATGTAACCTGAGCGTGTAGCCTTAACACAGAAACAGTTACACGGGTCTCTACACGGGCTCAGACTCGAGGGGAAAGCGGCCTGAGGACACCGTGGGTGGAAGAGGAGTCTCTGGTTGCTGGTAAATGTGGAGAGGCAGCTCGTCCCCACCAGTAACACGTAAAGTCCAGCTGAAACCCTGGGGTACTATTTTCTCCTGCTGAAAAAGGCAAAGTTTTTCTTTCTTTTTTTTTTTTTTTAATAAAACTTCACTGGCAGGAATACATTGAGATTCCTAGGCTGCGTCTGGCACTGTTAATTGGTTCAGTCTTTCTGGTAAGAGCTCTGACCTTATGTGTCAAAAACCTTAACATTCGTACCCTTTGAATGAGTAATACCTTGTTATGCAAATATTTAAAATATTTCTAGAAGGGACCCTGGAGAAATAATTAGGAGTTCAAAGATACATATACCACAGTCTTAGCTATAGCGTCTTCAGAAGTGAAAAACGGGTAGCAGTTTAAAAAGCACCTAATGCTATGGAAGAGGTTAAACCAGTGTTCGTTCGCAGTTCCCTGGATTTCCGTGCCTCTGAGACCTCGTGGGGCAGAGCCGGGTAGACCCTGCTCCCCCCGTGCCGGGCCGGCACACCGGAGTCCGTCCAGCCAGGGCCTCGCTGCTTTCCCAGTTTTCTCCATCGCCCGCCCCTTCCTCCTCTTCCCCTGTCGACAGGCACCGGCAGCACGAGCCGGTCACTTTCCCACGCCCGTGCCCGTGTTTCAGGTCGCCCGGTACACGGGGTGTTGTTACCCTGACATGTGATGTGCTGTCTCGTTACATTGTTGCATTTCCCCAGTTATTGGCAGAACGTGGTCTCCCCTTAATCTTCTCACAGCGCAGCTCCTGTTCCCTAACTTAGAGTGAGTGAAGTAGCCTTTGTACAGAAGTCATTCGCTTTGAAGTTGATTAAATATAATAATGTTTCACTGTATCACCTGTGCTTTGGGAGGTTTTGTATTCAAAAGTCCTTCTGTACCTCAAAACCCGGAAGCTCTTCTCCCGCTGGGGACCCCGCCCCTTCATCCCCTGCCACCGGGCCCGCCGCTGGGCTCTGGCCTGGCAGCGGGCATCGGGAGAAAAGGTTCTTCCCAGCTTTCTTCTCATCCAAGGCTCCTGACACTCTTCTCCTCTGGGTTGCTGTTTCTCTGTTCTGTTAGGATTTGACTGCCTTCTCAGGCCTCAGGAGGTTCTCTCTATTTTTATGTTATTTTGACCAATCTGTCGATGTCCTTGTTTTGTGGCTTTTCCAAGACTGAGTTTAGGACAGAGGCAGTCAGCAGCCCTGAGCAGCGTTTTTTTATTATATAGCCTTAAAACATTTTTTTTGTTTAAATTTGTTGGGGCGGCATTAGTTAGTGAGACTGTGTGTGTCCAGTGTGCAGGCTGTGACACACCATCGCACCGTCTGTGTATTGCACTGTGTGCTCACCACCCAGAGTCAGGTCTCCTTCTGTCGCCCTGCCGCTGACCGCCTCTCCCCTCTTCTTCCTCCCCCGACCCCCGTCCCCTCGGGCAGCCGCTGCCCCACACGGCCATTTTTAGGGGCTTTGTCAGGCCGTGGGAAAGGCTCGTGGTGTAATGACCAGAGGAAAATAGGGTCTGTTGTGGGGGGGTCTTTGTTTTCTTCATTATAACGTTCCTGGGTGTTCCAAGCCCTGCCCCTCCGACTTCAGTGAACGTGTATTTTTTAGACAGGAAATTTCATTTTAGAAAAATTGTTGTGCTCATCCATCAATTCGTGCTTTTAGACCGTTACAGAGAAATGTCTTCAAGTGTGTCTGTGTTTAGTTTGTCCCGTGGGTTCGCCCTTTTAGTTTAATCTGCGTCATCTTCGGTCAGCGTGCTGTTCTGTCCAAAGCTTCGGACCCAAGTGTGGATTTAGACCCGGTTTGTTTAATGCTTTGTTGAAATTTATTTAAAATTTGTATCACGAGCACTTTCCAACCACCAGAAGTGGGGAGAACAGGGTAAAACGAACCCACACGCCCACTCCTTGGCACGGACAGCTATTCCCCGCTTGCCAGGGTTGCCTTACCCTTTCTGCTGAGGTGCACGTTACACCCATCTCCATGCTGAATTCAGGAACATCTGCACCTCTGAAAAATACCCACCCACCGGTCCACAATTCCTTCACACATTTAACACGATTAGCCACGACTTTTAAGACTGCTGTTTAAAATACGTCCCCAGAGCTCTGTCTTTCTCCTCTCCGACCCCCCACCCCAGGATTCTGGGTTTCCGCCGAGCCCCCTTGGTGGTCGGCAGGTTCGTTAACCTGCGGACGGAGGTCAAGCCCGTCGCCACGGAGCAGCTCCTGAGCACCTTCCTGGCCGTGGGTGAGAAGAGCGGAGGGCGCTGGGGGAGGGGAGTGGCTCACATGTCGAATGGGGCGTCCGGGAGCAGGCCAGCTCCGGCTCCCAGGAACTGAAGGACGGGACAGCAGGGGGTGTAGGAGCAGGTGGGCAGCTTGCTCGCAGGTTCCTGGGGGCGGGGCGGTGGATCTTCCCGCGGGTGGGTGGCGGGAAACTGGAAGTCCCCTGCTGCGAGGTGAGGGTCTGCGTGGGGCCGGGGCGAGGCAGGTGGTCAGGGCAGCGTCACGGTCACCGAGGGGCCTTGCGCCCCGGCCCACAGTGGAGGCTTTCTCCTGGGGCGCTGGCCGGGGGCGGGGGGTGCACTGAAGGGGTCTGGGTGGGGAAAAGTCAGGCTCGAAGTTCAGAAAGCCACCGTGGCAGCTTGTGCGGGGGGGGGGATGAGTTGGGGGGGGGCATCTGGGGCTCTTGGAGTGCACTCACTGCAGTAGGAGTCAGGGAAGCAGGGACAGGGGTCAGGGAGATTTGAGAGAGAGCCTAGAGTGGAAAGAATTTGGTAAACATTAAATGGAACATCCCAGAAATAAACAGTTCATCAGTTTTAGATTGTGCACCATTCGGAGTAGTGTGATGAAGTCTCACACTGTCCGCTCCATCCGGCCCGGGACGTGAATCTGCCCCTTGTCCGGTGTGTCCCGCTGGGTCCGCGCCCCTGCCGCCCGGGGCGGGCCGTGCCTCCTTGCTCCCGGCGCTCTGACCAGCACAGGGGCCAGCGCTCTTCCGCAGCACTGTCACCAGCAGGGGGTTGGGCAGCAGTGGGCTCCGGAGGGGGAGCAGGGAGGAAGGCACAGAGAAACGGAGATGAGCTCTTTCCCATGTGTCCCTTTCTGCCTTTCCTGTGCGGTTTAGTTTTACATGTAAGTAAGTTCAGGGTCTTGGTTTTCGCTGTGTCCGTCTGCTGCATCGGGGAGAATCTGGCATCTTCCTTTTCTGTTCTGACGTGTGCTCGCCCCCTTCCTCTCCGTTAGGAAACAATACCTGCTTCTACGGGAAGTGTTACTACTGCCGAGAGACAGAGCCGGCTTGTGCCGACGGGGACACCATGGAGGGGTCTGTCACGCTGTGGCTTCCGGACGTGTGGCCGCTGCAGAAGCACCGACACCCCTGGGGCAGGACCTACCGAGAGGGCAAGCTGGCCAGGTAAATGCCCCTGCGAGCCACTGCGTCCTTGTCCCCCGCGCCCGGCCCGGCGCCGACCCCGGATGCCGGCAGGGGTCCCGGCCAGGACCGGAGAGGACGGTGGCGGGGGGGCCGGGGCAGGCCTGCCGGCCAGGAGCCTCGCCCCTGCGTGTAGGCAGCGCCCGGGCACCGCTGGCTCTCGGTGAGGGGTGCCGCTTGCCTCCAGGTGGGAGTACGATGAGAGCTACTGCGACGCCGTGAAGAAAACGTCCCCTTACGACTCTGGCCCCCGTCTCCTGGACATCATCGACACCGCCGTCTTTGACTACCTGATCGGCAACGCCGATCGCCATCACTACGAGAGCTTCCAGGATGACGAGGGCGCCAGCATGCTCATCCTCCTCGATAATGCCAAAAGGTAGGCCGGGCAGGGGGTGCTGCCCTGGTCAGGGAGGGGCTTCTGTGTGGACGGCACGGGCGTCTTCTGGGCTGTCCTGAAAGAACCCGGGACGCGCTTGACAGAAGGCGCATTTCCTGTCTTTGCTCGGGCGGGGTCTTCAAGATTGGCGGCCCATCTTCCCGCCTGTTCAGGCTGGCCTGTCCTCCGTCCACCCTCGGGGTCTGCGGACTTTAGAACACGGAGAAGTATTTTTCCCCCAGGAGCTGAAGACTGTGATTCTGTTCACAGACAACTAGAGACAAGGCCTTCGACTTACTGCTGCTCACATCATTCTTCCTTAACTGGGATGTTTAGAATCTCGAGAAATACACTTTTAATAGAACTGATTACTGCTAAACTTATTTCATCCGAAGGTTCACGCAATTTTTAAAAGGTTAATTTTTTGATAGGCTGTTTTTTTGTTTTAATGCTCACCCAAGGATATGTTTATTGATTTTAGAGAGAGAGGAGGGGGGCAGGAGAGAGAGGGGAACATCGATAGCTGCCTCCTGCGCGCGCCCTGGTCGGGAGTCAGACCTGCTCCGTTTTGGCCCACAGGATGACGCTGCAGCCGTCTGACCACCTGGCTAGAGCAGCTGCTTTACGGTTTTCAACAGCAGTCTGGGCCCAGACTTTTGCTACTCTGAGAGGAAGAGGAGTTGCTTAGCGATTATATATAAAGACAAGTTGCTTTTTTCTTGAAAAACGTAGTTTTATTAAATTTTTAAAGGTTTTATTCATTTATTTTTAGAGTGAGGGGAAGGGAAAGAGAAAGAGGGAGAAAAACATCAATGTATTGTTGCTTCTTGCATGCCCCCTACTGGGGACCTGGCCCAAAACCCAAGCATGTGCCCTGACTGGGAATCAAACCTGCTACCTTTCGGTTTGCAGGACAATGACGCCCAACCCACTGGGCCACACTGGCACACTGTAACTTCTTTTCACAAGTAATGACCACCTGCTTGTTGGCAGGAACCTCGTATGACAAGCCCTATTTCTCTGCCTACCCTTGAAGTGTTTTCTCATTACGAGGTCTTCAGGTTGCCCCGCTGGGCTGCGTTGCCATGGTCCTGCTTCGGCACTGTGCTGTGCCTTGTCGGGGGCGGGGGGTCCCCTGCAAAGGGGTGTGTTTGTGGTTCCGCGCTGTCACACTGATGTTCGGAGCCCTGTGCGTCGTCAACCGCGCCTGCTCAGTTTTAATCCAGGTGCCCGAGCGGCGGGAGCAGGGCGGGAGCAGGGCGTCACTCGGGGTCCAGTCGGGCTTCCTGCCGAGTTTGCTTCTGCTCTGGTTCTGAGAAGGGCCCTGGTGCTGCCACCTGACTCACTCTGGCTTCGTTCCGTTTGCAGCTTCGGGAACCCCTCGCTGGACGAGAGGAGCATCCTCGCCCCGCTCTACCAGTGCTGCATGTAAGTGACGCGCGCCCCAGGCCGGGCCCGGGCACCAGGGCCTCGGTCCTCGCGGCCGCAAAGCTCCTGACCCCGAGCAGCGCTTCTCGTGCCCTCGGACCCAGAGCCCCTCAGGGTCCTGAGGGGGCGGGGTGGGGACAGGCGGGGGCCAGCAGCCCAGTGCTCAGGACTCATTTCCAGTTTGTATGGTAGGAGTTTTCCATTTGTTCACTAATGTGTGTCCGTGTCTGTTTTAATAGCAGAATATGGTCCTCCCCTCCCCCACCAAAGTCTAGTCAGCAGGGTGTCCAGCCTTTTGGCGTCTCTGGGCCGCACTGGAAGAACAAGAGTTGTCTTGGGCCACACGTTAAATACATTACAACACATAATTACAAAAAAATCACATCGTGTTCTTGGTGAATTTCTGATTTTGTGTTGGGCCTCATTCACAGCCATCCTGGGCCGCGGCGGCCTGCGGGCTGCGGGCTGCGGGCTGGACGCCCTGGTGGTGCGTCTGTGTCTCTGGTCGCTGCACGGCGTTTGCCGCACGGTTTCACGTCCTCGCCCTCACCTCCCCAGGCGCCCTGTGGTTTGCGTACTGTAATCTGAAATTGTATAAACCAAAAGTAATGTTTCCCATAGGTATTTAGTAACTGAGTTTTTTAAGTCTGTTAGAGGACAAAGAAATTAAAAAGTAAATCAGGAAAATGAGCTAGAGATCGGGCTCTCAGGAGCTCCTTTTCGGGTCGTGATTGCCGTTGGGTGGAACTTGAACGTGGGCACACACATGCCGTCCAGGGTGCCTCTTCCTCCTGGTCGGCTCCCGGGGCGCCAGGCTGCCCCTCCGGGCAGCTGGTCTGCTTCTCCTTTTTCTTCTCTTTCAGTCGCAAAAAATACTCTGCAGAAAGTCTACCCAGGCAGCCCTTCATTATCTTCACGAATGTCGGGAAGTCGTGATACATCCATCAGAAACTGTACCTTTGAAGGGAGGTGTTTTTGTAGTAACACTTGGCGTTACCAGTCTGGTCCAGTGAGGACACAGAAAGACAGAGCGGGTTAAACAGAGAGTTGAGTGTAAAGAAGAGTATCGCCGTGAAGCAGGAGTGACGTCACGGAACACTAGGGCTGAGGATGAACTTGGGAGGGCACCCCCCTCCCGAGGCTGGGGTCGGGACCTCAGTGGAGAAGGTGCAGGTCAGCCCCCAGGAGGGCAGGGAGCAGCCCAGGGGACGGCAGGGGATGGGCAGGCAGCGTCTGGTGGCACGGCACACAGAGCGAGGACTCGGCCGAAACCTGGGCTGCAGGCAAGCCACGTCTGTGGACCTGCAGGGGGGCGGGGGCTCCAGAACAGGCAGGTGGCCTCTGGGGCTCTGGTTTCCTCGTCGGGAGGGCCTCGGGATGGTTCTCGCCAGGCCAGGCCGAGGCTCTGAGATCCCCAGGGGCCTGCCCACTCTGGGACCGAGCCGGGGCACAGCGGCAGGTGAAGCCCTCACCCTCACACCGCCGGCCCCTGTGCAATGGCCAGAGACAGCTGGCGAGAGAGAGGCTTCAAGGAAACCCGTCCTGTAGTGACAGCAGGTCATACCAGCCGTGCCCCCGCCGCACGCGGGGGGCTCTGATGCTCGGGCATCTGTACTCGAACTTTAAAACAGCAAAGGCATGCTCGCTGCCCCTGTGCTTGCTCATCCCCCCCCCCGCCCCCGCCCCCCGCTTCAGCCAGAGATCCATCTGTGCCCTTCACGTGGTTGCCGAAGAGGCGGCCGCTCGCAGAGCCCAGCTTTTCTGCGCACCTCGGAATTCCCGCAGCACCCCAGGGAGACGAGCACTTCCTACCGAGATAAAACAGGAGGGCCTCTCCCGTGGGTGAAAGAATTACAGAAAATAGCCATCCTCACGGTAAACTTTTCTTACTCATCATATGAAGTGCAGAACCTTCCTAAAATTCAGAACCGTGAACAGAAGGAAATTAAAGTTGCCCATCGAGACGTGAGGACAGTTTCTGTCCGCAGTGTAGTGACTTCACTCTGATCGCGTGTGTCTGTGTGCGTGTGCGTGTGTGCCCACACGTCTTTCCCCACAGAGTTCAAGCGAAAAGGTTTTCACTCACGGGTGCTGACCCGCACCCAGCATCATGTCATGGGCATCTCCCCACGCCGCCACTACACTCTCTGTGCCGCTTCTAGCGTCTGCGTGACATTCCCGTGAACGGATGAGCCACGGCGTGCCAGTTGTTGGACAGCCAGATTGGTTCACGTTTTCCCTGCTATGAATGAACAGACGTAAATCTTTGTATTGCCTCTCATCGACTACCTAGGGAAAATACCAGCATACTCATAGTGATTTTTTAGTTGAGGTATTTTATATAATTCTTTCTTTTCTTTTTCTTTAAGAATTTATTTATTTATTCAGAGAGAAGGAAGGTAGGGAGAAAGAGAGGGAGAGAAACACCGATGAGAGAGAAACACTGATCAGCTGCCTCCCGTGTGCGCCCCGACCGGTGACCAGGCCCGCAACCCTGGCACGTGCCCTGCCTGGGAACCGAACCAGCAACCTTTTGCTTTGCGGGAAGACGCCCAACCCACTGAGCCACGCCAGGGCTGTGCAACCGTCTCTTTACTTTGTGTGCCAAGCAGGCTGTAAACCCATTCAGTAGTGAGAGATCTTCAGTAACGCGTCCCAAAACTTTCTTTCTCTTCCAGCATCCGAGTTTCCACCTGGAACAGACTGAACTACCTGAAGAACGGCGTGCTGAAGTCTGCCTTAAAATCCGCCATGGCCCACGACCCCATCTCCCCCGTGCTCTCGGAGCCCCACCTGGACGCCGTGGACCAGCGGCTCCTGAGTGTGCTGGCCACCGTGAAGCAGTGCACCGACCAGTTCGGGGCGGACACCGTGCTGGTGGAAGACAGGATGCCCCTCTCCCACCTGTAACTCCCGGCGTGGAGTAACTGAAACTTCTTCACAAAGATAGAGAAACAGCACAATCAAGTCCGAATGGCATGGGACGGGTTGGCGGCGGCCAGCAGCGAGTCCTGGTGGCGGGGAACAGGGCGGCCTTGCGTTTCTTTGGTGTTTTCCGTCGCAGAAACTAAGGACGGACCGCAAGCTTCGTGCCACGGAAACATACACTTCCGCAGAGTCGCCCACTCCCACAGCGGCCGCCGCAGCGGGCCAGGCTCACCTCTCGCACCGGAGGACGGGCGGGGGAGGACGGGCAGGGGAGGACGGGCGGGAGTGGCATCCGCGCAGGCCGGCGCTGGATCGGTGCTGGGGGTGTGTTCTGAGTTCATCCGAGAGTCCTTTCGCCGCACCTGCGGATGTCCCGGGGGCACTTCGCAGACTCTCGGGTCCTTTTCTACCAGGACCGGTCGCACTGGGAATTGCACTGCCTCCTGAGGGGCGGCAGCGAGTGGACCTGGCGTTCCGTGTGGCCGGAGGGACGGGCCCCGTGGGAGGGTGGGTGTCTGGGACAGAGGTAGCGGGGGGACAAAGGCTTGTGTGGGCCGCTCAGCCATTAGGCAGTCGGGCCTCTGAGGGGCGTAGAGGCGGGAAGAGGGGAGAGGGAAGGTACAGCTGGCGTCGGGGAGACTCGGTGAGAGCGGGTGCCCCTGTGTTTCAGGTGTGTCCTAAGGTGTGTAAGAGCTCGCGTGGCTCGTACCTGAGCAAAGTCTGCGTTCTCACAGCTGTGTTTAAATGAACCAAAAATTGTCTCCGGAGAACTTACTGTTACAACCCAAGCACTATTCTTTATGGAGATTTATTTTTTCCCTTTTGCCCGGAGGAGACAAACCCTGTCCGAGTTAACGAAGCAAACAATACCTTGAGTGAGAGTTAGGTTTCCTGTGATCTGTGCCGTCCTGGTTTCTCTTCTGAGATGAGTTTCCGCCTCTGCTGCTACGGCCTTTGAAGCTGCTCTTCCCAAGAGACTGGCAGTCCTGACCGTGCCTTTCTTGGGAGAGAGCCGGCTCCCTCTGACCGATGGCCGTGCGCGCCCCGCTGTGGCTGGGCCCGTCCTAGGGCTGGAGCCACGCGGGCAGCTGGAAATAGAGACGGGAGCCTTCCGAGCCTTAAAACGAAGGGGGTTGTACCAGGAAGAGCCTTAAGATTTTGATTACGTGAAACCCTAATTCATCATCTCAGCTTGTTTGGAGTTTGGAACCCACCTCCCACCGTCCGTTGTTAGCACTCTGAAGCTTCAGGCTGCGAAAACTCGGGCTTAGTTCTGGGCTCTGGCGAAGCGACTATGGCATGTAAGCAGTCGTAAGCGGTCAGACACGGGGACGGCAGGCCTGGCGTGCCCCCCGCCCGTGTCCTCGCCCCACGCGGTGCCGGGCGCTGCTGCAGTTCTGTGCCTCTGCCAGGCAGGGACCCGTGTTGGACCGTGTGGTCGAGCACACGCGATGCCGGCCCCTGGAGACCAGTGCTCGTCAGCCACCCTCTGAAAGGCAGTTTAGGGTCGAAAGATGACTGTGTCCTGTGACTACTTCAAAAAAAACGTGGAATTAGGATACTTTTGTACTTTGTGTATACATTTTGAGATGTACATGAGTGTGAGCTGAGTTACCGGGAAAGGTTTTGAATTTATGAAGACGTATTAGCACAAGACACTGAACTAGGGTTAGCAGAAGGAGGCCTCGGTCCCCATTGTAAGGCCTGTGCCCAGAAACCCCCCACGGAGTGGTGGTGGGGGCGTTCCCTGGAGCGTGCTGCCGGGGGAGGGTGCCAGCCCCGCTCTCCGCGGTGAGTGTTGGCTGAACCAGGTCACGGATCGGTGTCCCCCCGACGCAGGGTCCGGTCTGAGTGTGCTGCGAGCTGGAGGGAGTGGGAGCCGTCCCCAGCCTGGGAGCTTCGTTCCCGGTGCCCGAGGCAGGGCGTCCCACCGAGGCTGGGAGCAGGGGGAGAGCTGCTTCGAAACGGCCCCGTCCTTCTTCAGAACGTTGCCGAGAAGGGGTCATGCCATTCTCTTTCCCTGCCGTTTAAAAATTCGTGCTCTTCCAAGGTGTTCGGATCTGCAGTGGTTGAAGTTAGGGTTTTGCTAATATGACGCTGAGAATATAAATGTATATTCAAAGTCAGGATTGGATTAAGCAAGAAAAGTATGTTTAGGTGAATCTTAAAATCAGCCGTAAACATCAAGCTATAAAATTTACAAACTAGGTTTTGTTTGAGAAAACAGGCAGATATCTTTTCAGAAGTTCTCTAACACTGTCCTCTTGACGGTCCGTTTACTGGCGCCTCGCACTGCTACAGTCAGACACGCCAGGGAGAGGGGTTTTGGTCAGCCCGGGGTAGGGAGCGCTTAGCAGCCTCTGCAGGTGGGCGCAGACACATCGTAGTATTGTAGAGCCAGGAAAGTCAGAGCTGACTGCCGAGTCCTCCTGTCCTTCTCCTACTTTTTAAACGTGTTTATGCCGGAGTTTGAAGGGGAACTACAAGAGAGAGGTTTCATTCTAAAACTGCTCTTTAATGTGAGTCTCTAGGGTGGGTTTGGCCATAAGTAACTTTCTGTGCAAAACAAACCAATAGATAGGGTCTGACCCGCTCCGAGTATCACCCAGTAGCGCGTCAGGGAGCAAGTCCCCCTGCTGGCACTCAGGGTCAGTAGGCCACGTGGAACTGAAGGAGGACGTGGGAGAATCTGGCAACATCAATTGCACATTGCTTGGGGGAATTCTCAGTGAATCCTGTATGTGGCAGATTTTCATCGTTATCTGATGGCAACATGTCCTTCCAAAGAAATCCATCTTTTCTCTTAAAAAAAAAAAAAAAAAAAGGCTTTCGGCCCCGCCTTCCCATCCACCGCACTCCTCCAGCTCTCCTGCAGCTCCCCTGCGGTGGTCTCTGTGCGTCCGCGTCCGAAGGGGAAACCAACCCGCCCCCGCGACGGCAGGACAGCCGCGGTCCGCGAGCGCCGCCTGCAGGCCGTCCCGTGACCTGGGCTTCAGGAAACTCAAGTAGAGGCGTGTGTGTATAGTCACAGATGTGTCCTAGCAAGAAAAAACGTATTTATTTTGACAGGGAAACGCTGATTTGCGTTGCTGAAGAGCTCGAAGCCAGTGAAAGGCCCCCCTCTCAGGCTCCGAGCACGACCCTGCAACCCTGCGGGCACAGTGACCATCAGGTCAGCAAAGGCCCCCCCACCCCAGCAGCCCTGGGGAGCCTGCCCTGCCCGGCACTCCAACGAGCCAGAGAGACGCGACTTCATGAACCCTCTCGGGCAGGGAAAGCCGGCTCTGCCCACTCTGGTTCCTGAGTGTGGGTTGGAATGCTAGGGGCTGGGGACTCCGCTGCCACAGGCCGTGAGGAACTGAGGGGTTGCAGACACCCGGTGTGGGGGCACCTGGGAATAACGCAGTGGGGAGCTAATTTATTTGCTTCAACAGGAAGCGTAGGAACCACCCCGTCTGTCCGACCTGCCAGGACCTCGTCTCCCAGCCGCTGCACAGACAGAGGTCGCGCTCAGCGCACCACCCAGCGAGGTGGTGTGCACCCAAGTTTCTGACGTGCTCTGTGGGCTCCAGTTCTGGGAGAAAAAGAAAATGAATAAAGATTTTAATAAGTATCGAGGTATCGTGTTTTCCTCTTGTTCTCCGCCTCCACCGCCCCCCATTTCAGGACAGTTCCAGTGCTGTCTACCCCAACTTCCTGTGTAATTAGGGACAGAAGGTCACATCTTCCCGTCCCCTCACCGGAGCCAGTGGGTCGGTCCTGGGGCTCCCGCAGGGAGGGGGCTTCCGAAGGCCCACAGCAGGTTGCGACTGGGTCAGGAAGCCCCACAGGAGACTCCTGGGTGCCTTCTGGATATGTAGCAGTTAGCGCAGGTCTCGCAGCCTCTGCAGGGGCAAAGCATGAGGAAGCCAGAGAGCTGGTCGGGGCCGTGCCGTCGAGGCACAGGAGAGAAGGCCAGGCGTCCTGGGTGTGATTCTCGGGACAGTCAGATCTGGAACTTCCGAAGCTGAAATCCGGCCTCATCACCTTCAAGCAGACAGCAGAGCAGAGTCCCGAAGACTTTTCCCTGGATTCGCAGCATTTTCGTTGGCGCACGTTTTTGTCGTCTGTACTTGACCACCAGTGGGAGGCCGAAGCCTCGGAAGAGTTCTCACGGACTCGCCGCCTCTGACCCTTTTCCAGGCGACGTTGCAGGCCTCGCAGTGCAGTGGGGAAAGGGCAGCCGGGAGGAGGGAGGGCGCGGCTCCATTACGGGCTGATTTCCCCTGGTGTCTTCGCCTGTGAAAACCTTTTTCAGCGGCGCTCATTTTGTGAGACACAAGTCCCAGCCGCCGGCCTAGCACGGCTGGGCTGTGTGCGGTGGGGTGCGGTATGAATCCCAGGGAGTAACTGGGGTCAGTGAAGGTCTGTAAAGGGTTTGATCTTTCTTCAGTAGACATCGGGGCATTGCACCGTGAGCTGTGGATGCCACCGAGACAGTCATGACTGTCCCTTTCCTCAAAGAGCCTCTAGTCCTAGCTGAAGAAAGCTGCGTGTGAAGTCCCAAGTGCCTCAGCCAGGACGTAGGTGGGTACGAGGGAAGGAAGGGCAGGAGCGGAGGCGGGCTGGGGGGTAGTCAGGAGGGGTCACAGTGCGGGAGAGCGCGATCCGGGTCTGACAGGCGCTGTGTGCAGAAGAAGCCCGGACTCCAGAAATGCGGAGCCTCCCAGCCCGTGCGCTGTCGTCGGCCCCTGGGTCACCAGAGAGGCCCCTTCAGGGGGTCGCTGTGGTTCTGGTTGGGGTGTGCCCTGTCTTCTGAGAGGACGGTCTCCGGCCACTGCGCTGCCTCGGTGGCTCCGTGGCACAGATGCTAAACAGAGGGGCCGCTGGCATGTGGACAAGCCGTGGAGCACTCGTTTTGTGTTTGCAGAGTTTGCTTTTCACGTGACAAGTCTGTTTGGAGACAGACGGACTTGGTTCTTACTCGGAGGTTGATGCTGAGGCCGGCGGTGTTTGCTGCGTGCCTCCTCGGGGTGGGGTGACAGTGTTTGCTGCAACCGTAAGTCCCCCCTCGGATGACAGGGCAGGTGTCGGGTGCCCGTTTTCTCCTGGAAAGCTGACTGGTAAAGTTTAGCAGATTTTGATTGGGTCAGTTTGGGACTGAGGCTCTGCATTTCAAACAAGCCCCTGGGTGTGCTTGCTGAGTCGCAGTCGCCTGCAGTTCTCACAAGCGCCTTCGGGTGTCGCCAGCATCCCGGCCACGGGCTCCGAGAGCTCAGCCGGCAGCAGCCTCGGAGCCCTGGCCAGGAAGTGTTGGCTGTTTACAGAGGCCAGAGGCCGGTCTGAGGCCGGTGTCTGGAGTCATCGTTTCAGTGTGGGGCCGGCTGGTGAGACGAATGGTCAGCGCTGCTGCTCCAGAAAAGGGAATGTCGCCTTGAAATCAAGTTGCTCGTCCAGGAATCTCCCAGCGACCTACTTTGTCTACCACGAAACGCTAAACCCCAGCCAGAACAGCTCAGAGATTAGCAGTGAGCTCTACGTCCACGTTACAGTAAAGACAGAATTATTTCCACAGTCTTAAGATTTGAATTTTTAAAAGAAGCTGGTGTTAATTCTAGTAATTTTCTCGCCACAAGTTCACCTACAAGCTTCACTAGTATCAGTAAAACCATCCAGACTTCCTGTGCACACGCCACCCGGAGCCTCCCCCCCGGGCGAGGCGTGCACAGCAACAAATTTTCCTCGTAACTGAGCTGGCCGTCAACCCTCACTGCATCCCTACAAAGTGACTATTTTATGTTACCCCATTTTACAGGGTGGGGAAACTGAGGCACGGGGCAGGTAAGTAACACCCACAGTCACACAGGAAGTGGTCGTCGGGCTGTTCAGTTAGCACGGGCGGTAGATGTCCCTGCTGGAACGGTGCTGAGTCATGGGGTGAGTTAGTGGTTTCAGTCTCCTTGGTAACTGTGCCCTGAAGGGTTTCGTGAGCTTGACTTCACTTTAACACGGTCCACAGGGCCCACCACTGCTCTCTGGAAGGTTTGGGTTCAATTCTGACACCGCCCTGTGTGGCTGAGTCATACACTGTCCTGGGGTAGCAGTATTTTCTTTACACCGCGGCTCTGGCTGCCTAGCCGAGGTGCTGACCCGGGGTCCGCAGCTGGGTGAAAGCAGCAGGTCTGGGGAGCTGCTGAGGGCAGAGCAGAGACTGGGATGAGCGGGCGAGTGGGTTCGCTCGTGACCGTGCGCTGGGGTCCCCTCTACTGTCCGGAGAGCCCACCCGCAGCCATGGAGCCTGTGGCAGCAGCCGAGTCCCAGGCACTGTCGTCTACAGACAGCAGCCTCTCGCCAGGACAAGGTGGCTCTTAGGCCAGCGGCTGCACTGAGCTCTGCGGAAACCTGGCCGCAGGCGCCGGGCGAGGGGAAGGCAGCCCGGGGAGAGGCCCTCCGGTCCTTCGCCAGTGGCGCTGTAACCGGGTGGGGGCGCCTGGCCCGGAGAGGGGCTGCCCAGTGGGAAAGATCTCACAGCACGAGTCCAGGTGACTGTGAGGATGCGTCTATTAAAGCAGGGACAGCGAAACGAGGAGGACTTAGCGTGGAATCAGCAACAGGAGAGCCCGGGCTGGGCTGCCTTCGCTCACTGGGAGGTCAGAGAAAAGGGGCTGGGGACAGGTTCAGGAGGTCCGCCTGGGACGAGCCGCCAGCTGCCTTAGAGTTTAGGAGACACATTCCTGTGAAGAAGGGAGTGGGGGTAGAAGTCGGAAAAGGAAATGGCTCAAGGAAATGGCTCGGGCGGCTCCCCAGCAGGAGAGCACTCGCCGGCTGGGTCCTTCGTCCCGAGGCTTGTGAGTCTCTGGCAGGCGGGAACCTCAGGGGAGGGTTTCCGCAGAACACACGTCAGTGTTCGGTGCCTTTGGAGTACATGGATGTGCCAGAATGAGTGCGTTGGGGGTGGGGGTGGGGGGTTATCCTTTGGCCAGCCATGTTGTTACTGTCATCTCGGGTCTGTCTGGCTCCAGCGGGGTTTTTGTCACTTGCTCCTGACTTCGTCTGTCCTTGGGTTTGGCTGGGACAAATGACATTAGCTGGGTCTCTGTCCTCTACGTCCCGGACCAGGGAGACTTACGCCGTGCATTCTCTGGTCGGGGTGGAGAGTGAACCATTTGCTCTCAAGTGCCCTCGCTGGGGGAGATGAGGTCTTGCGATCCACTGGCTGGCTGTAAGTTGTTCCAAGCGTCTGGCCTTGTTCAGTTTCTTGTCTCAGCTTCCCCCGGCCACTGGCCTGGGAGTTCTCCCCACTTCTCACTCGCCGCCACAGGGTCAGCGGCAGCTCGTGGTCACAAGCACCTACACATCGCAGACAGAGCCACGGAAGTTACAGGGTCCTTCTTTTCAACGAGATAGGATTACACCGACTGAGACCTTGTGATTTTCCCATGACCCCATGCCTCTGCGAGTTTCCAAAGTTCATGAGTCGCCGGCCGGCCAGGCGCTCGGCCGGGTTTCAGTTCCCCCGGGGGGGGGGGGGCGGGGGGGGCACCGGCCCATGCCCCTCCCGCCGGCCTCCAGCAGCTGCCCGCTGGCCCACCCACGGTGGGGGTGGGTTGCAGCGGTGCCTCAGACATGGGGCCGGGCACAGAGGGCGCCCCTGTTTGGTAGACCACGCGTGGGCCACCGGAGCTGCCCGGAATGACAGCAGGGTGATGTCAGTGGCCTTTTCGGCCCCGGCTTCAGGACTTCACCTTCGCAACCACCGCCCGCCCAGAATAGGCGCGGCCAGCCGGACCCAGCTTGGGTTTCGATTCCGCCCCGTCCCGGGTCACGTGGGGCTGCTGTTCCCCTGGCAACGCCAATCCGGGGGCGACCGGCCTCGGGAGCCCGGGTGCCCTCCCGGCCGTATTTAACCAGCCGGGGAGGCCGGGCTCCGGCCCGAGAGGCGGCACCCGGCCGGCTATGCTTCGTGGCTCGCCGCTCCCGCTCTGGCCCTGGGTCCTGTTGCCGCTGCTGCTGCTGCTGCTGCCGCCGCCGCCGCCGCTCGCCGGCGCGCTGGAGCCGCGCGGCCCGGCCAGGCCCGAGCAGGCAGCAGAGGAGCCGGGCTCCGGGGGGGCCAGGCCGGCCTTCCAGGACCTGCAGGAGCAGCTGAGGGCGGCCATAGCCCTCACCAGACGGTACTGGGCGCTCTTCACCTGCCGCGTGTGGCCCGAGACCTGCGGGCAGGACGGGAAGTCCCCCCTAGGTAAGACTCCCCTGGGTAAACGCGGCTGTGAGGCTCTCTCCTGCCCGGGCCGTCGCCCCTCCCCGAAGCAAGCGCCTTGGCAGCCAGCTTTACTGTGCTGCCCGGAGCCCCGTGCAGGCCGCCCCCATCCCTTGGTGTGCCCGGCTCATTCGGAGGACGGGCCGGGCGGCCCGCCCCTTCGTGGCTCGTTCCTGACCCCTGCACACAGCTCACACCTCGAGGGCTTCAAGTGCCCGTTGGACACCCCGAGTCCCTTTGTCTCCGCTGCTGCCGAAGGAGGCAGAGCCCGGGCGGGGAGTCCCAGACTCGAGTTCTGGTTGCCGCTCGTCACCGACAAGCTGTGTGGCAGGGCGGCCCCATCACTGTCGTGGACCAGGTGATCTCGGGCTTGTGGT